AAGTAGCCCTTGGCTTTTTGTTCTCTTCTTTTCTGTACGTGAAAGAATATTGATAAACAGATGATTCCTTGATATATGTGTTTTAGTGCAACAGATAATATCAACCATAACATAGCTGATTATGACATTCATGTCTATTTCTGAGACTATAACTAGTAATTTTTGCTAACAGTAAAATATGTTTATCTATAAAAGTCCATATTTCGGATAAATTTTAATGAAAATTAAGGCTGTTGTTTTTAATGTGAAACTGAATTGATATAAAACAACGTATATTTTCTCCATTGAGTCACCCTTCGCTCAAGATATCCCTTTAAACAAGATTTTCATTTTACTAATATTTTTTATTAATAATCATGCTTAATCTTTACAATATCCCATAAAACTTTAATAATTCATAATAAAATGAAAACTTAATCTCAGATTCGAATCTACGACCTTTATAAAACCTCTAGTTACTATTTTTATTCTAACAATAGTACATTCAGACTACATACTAAATTGGTTGTTTTAGAATGAAATATGAATCATATTCTTACGGAGAATTCTTTTATACAGTAAATTGATTTTTCTACAAAAAAATTCGATTAAATATACTACATTTTCATTAAATTCAACTATATAATAGATTAATATTGGTTTGAGTAATCTATATAATTGTTTAAAAATCGAATTAATGTCAAAAGTAATCTATTATAATTTATATTGTTTAGAATAATCTATATCATCAATTTCTACTGTAATTACACTATCTCATTTTTGAAGCCATTTTATATAAGAGTATTAAATTTACTATATTTGTATGATTTTAATTCAGTAACAATTTTATCATATGTGAATACAAACACTTCAAATAATTATTTGATGCTGAAATCTAGAGAAAACCAGTTATCTTCGATATGTATGATATAAAAGATAGTATAATAGACAAAAATTGAAAAAAAAGCTGATTGTGATCATTTTCTATGCGATTAAAAATCAATTAAAATAGATTTTTGACTATAAAAAAAAAAACAAATCTATTGTAATCAATTCTGTTTTTTTGTTTTCTACATGAACAAGTTCGATACCCTGGATTGTTGAATATGAGTCTTGCGACACAGTAATTATAGTCTTTACACCGATTTTCATTACGATCAATGCCTCGCATTTGTTCAAAACGAGAGTAAATGAAGCAATTGTTCATATTTAATTAATTAATGTCTCTATTATTCTTTGAAGAATCTAATATGTCATTGTAACTTTAGATCGTTTTTATCTTGTTAGTTGAGCATATCACTAAGGCTCGAGATCAAAAAACAAATATTAGAAACATCATAGAACATTTTGGAAAACGGCTCCTAGTATCAAAAGATTTGTTTTTTTCACTAGAATAATATCTTAAACACAAAGATTCTTCTGAAAAAATAAGTTAAATTTGAAAATAATGAAATCATCTTTAAATAAATTTTCATTTTATTAAATAATAAATTTAATACACCAATGAAAATCTTCAAAGTCATATAAACTTTGCAGTTAGTTATTATATAAATAGTAAATATCAACAAATTTCATAAGTTTTATTTCATTTTGACTTCAGTTTTTGATTGACAAGATAATCTTTAATACTTCTATAATTATCTTTCTAATCTTTCATTGTTATTGAAATATTGTTAAATAAAAGATATTTGCCTATGATAAACTCAATAATCATGAAGTTTATGAATTCATCTTAGTTTTCCAATATTAAATGGTAAATTAGGACGGATAGTCTGACGTTATCAGTAGGTTACAGGTCCTGAGAAATTCGAACTTGATCTTTGTTCATTCTTCAAAAGAACTCTTTTTCTCATAGCTCATAGCCTACAGCCACATTTGGCACGTGCTTAATTTGAAGCTTATGATGGAGGCACATTAAAATGAATACTTATAAAATAATTACATGAGAATTAATATCCATGTCTGAATTAACGAGAAGTGGGTGTAAGATCAGTAACTTGTCATCGGCAATAGTTAACGATTTGCGATTTTCAGCAATCAATGGAAAACTATGTCGAATGTCTTTTTATATGATAATTTATAATAAATTATTTTAAAGTTCATCATCTTCGAGAAATGTACAAAAACTATATTCTATTTCGATGTAATTTTGATTTTGACATACATTTCAGATTATCTTCTTACATCTCAATATTAAGCTAAACTTTTTCTTTTTGAAAAGAAACCAAATTTTCATTCATCTTTTATCGATGATGATGATAATGACTATCAAACTAATTTCGTCTTAATTACTTTCTATTAAATATTTGTATTGTTTTGTAGAATTCACATATATTTTCGTAGAAAATAGTGAGTGTAAGTTTTAAGTTCAAGATTTCGCGGCACTTCCCTCTCCATTATAGACCGTAGCAGCTTCGCCAAAAAAAAATGTCTGTTCGAAATATAGAGATAAAAAAGACAGCATTTTTTGATAATCAATTCTTATTAGAAAAGAAATTTAAATATTGGATATTTTGTGATTAGTATAATAAAACCAAAGAAGATATGTGAGTTCTACATTTCAATTCTAAAGGGACTGCGCTAACAAGCTTTTGTTCACATGAGTTCAAACATTTAATAAAAGCATGAGTTTTATGATAAAAATAGAAAATCGTTTTTATATAACATTGTCTCGATAGATTTTCTTATGACTTTATTATATTTCAATCGGATATAATTATATTATATGGTTAATCTTTCTATTTTTATTAAATTCATGACATTAATTCAACTGTCATGATAGTAATAATATAATGGATCTAAGAATAGATTGATTATAATTATATACTTGTAGTATCATTAAAAGTTTTGACATTATGACATACATCAATAACAGTTTTATATCCTGTTTGATGTAGTATAATTAGGACATTGTAAAAAAAAAATTGTTTTGAAGAAAATACAATATAATTATGTTTCAAATTTTTTAAATATCCAAAAATATGATTTTTTTTCTTGTTTTAATATTTTAAATCAAAATAGAAATCTTTGTTTTTAATTAAAAAGTTTTAAAAATAATCTTTTGAACATAGAAAAATATTAGTCTGTTTATGATCATAGTCATTCAATGATTTACTCCTTAGAGATATTATCAATATAAGTATTTTCGATTAAACACAGATGAATAATTATTTCTATTGTCATGTTAAAAATAAATCACATTCAAAAATAAGATTTTGTTTTTTTTTTTTTTTTTTCATAATTCAATAATTGTGTAAACTAATAAAGGCTCGTTTTGACAAAAAAAAAAGCAACAATAATTTACGTAAATTTTCTCATTATATAATTTATTTGTATTATCAATAATCATATTAATTCATAATATAATTTACTTTATTATTAATAAAATTTTGATAATTATTATTTCCGTAGATATTTATATAAGTAAGAATAATATTTTTCTTCTCATTATTTTATATTTCAATATTAAAATAATTATAAATGTAATTCAAAAAAAAAAAAAAAAGAAATAAAATTGGTTTTTGTTTTTTTGTTCTAATGACTATAAGTTTATCGTGTGAACATGAACAAATTTGATTAAATAAGATATATGGTTCAGACTCTTGTCTATCCGAATAATTGACATAAATTAAATAAGACATAATCAAAATATGAGTTTAAAGGGGGGACAAAGAAAAAGGCCGAAACATTTTTTGTTTATTCCAAATAATATAGAAATGTATTATGTTATCAAATAAAAATCTTGATCTAAATTTTGTTAAATTCATTTTATTTTCTATTTTAAAATTCACAGATATTTGAATATTGTTTTTTTTTTTTGTCATAAACTATGAAAGCTTCTCTATTTCTTTATTGAAAGTACTTGTAATACTTCAAAAACAGCTGTATAAGCTGTTATGATTCCTTTATCAGTAATAAAAGAATCAATTTCTTTGATTAAAATACGATAGAGTAATTCAAGTCTTTCTGCAGTCAAAAAAACTTTCAGTACTACTCTATAGTATGCTCCACCGTTGGCTCACATTCCTTCGTATGTGTTAAGTACATTAGTCTTTTTTTTTAAATATATATTTCTTCGCTATGACATAAAGTGTGTTCTATCCGATATTAACTAATCCTATCTCTTGTGTGAAAATCTCTTACGGAGGCGATATTTTAATCTAGTCAAAAATAAATCTAATATATTAGAAAATTTAATAATTTTCTCATGATTTATTTGTTAGAACAAAAGCACTTATATTATAAATCGGTTATAATGAATGGTGAAAGAGGTATGAATAGAATTTATGTCATACTATTGATATGAAAGAAAAGTTCTTATAAAACTTCATGACATTTTCTTTCTTTTGCTTCTATAACTTCCGATATTAACTATTGTATTTGTCATTGAATAAAAAAGCAAAAAACAAATAAGATATTTGTAAGACAACTACTTATGTTCGAATAAATTGCTGGTACTTATGTGTGCTATAGAGAATTTCTTTTAAGTTTACATTTATTCATGAAAAACAAAAAAGTTCAAATCGACATGAATATTTTAAATATTAGTTTTGTTTTTTCTTTTGACTTGATCTCACTCATATTATTTACGTATCTTGATCAATTTTGACGTACATATATACAATGACAAGTTTCGGAAACAATACTCATCTTCATCAAGATTGAAAATGTTCATATATACTTTATTCTTTTAATCATATAGGAAATAGAAAGAAAGAACTTTTGACAAGAAAAAGTTTAGAATCTAATTGATTCATGATTTCTTGAAATGTTTTAAAAATAATATCTTACGATTGCATGAGAGGTAATATCAAATTTATTTGTGTGAAGTCGATTATATATAATCTAGATATTATCTTTCTTATTCGTGCAAGAAAACATTCGAGAATGCAAAAAAAAGAAGAAAAACAGAAATGTCATTTCTTTCTTTCCTCTATTTTTCTCTGTTGTTCTTCTTCTTCTTTTTTTTTTGTTACTGTCATTTCACATCTTTTAATATAACTTAGCAAATAGATTTTATCATGGCAATCATTATTGTTGTGATCGATTGGATTTGTATTATATTATTTGTATTGGGTTTTATTGGTAATCTTCTTGGTTTAATAGTTTTTTCATCACGTCGTTTTCGTTGTTGTCCAACGTATGCTACATTAGCATTAACATCATTTACAATCAATTTAATATGTATTGTACGTTATTCATTAGTTATACATTCAACAACACGACGTTGGTTATCTGATTATATTGTTAGTGTACATTGGTTAACATGTAAAATATATCGTTTATCATCTTCATTTCGTGTTCTATCTGCATGGATAACAGTTTTTTGGGTTATTGAAAGATTTGTTTATGTATCATCACGTTTAAATTTATTATTTAATTGTCGTGAAAAATATCAAAAATTTGATAAATATAAATATTTTTCAATGATATGTATATCATTAATTATGATTATGATTGTTACAGGACCAACTGTTATATTTTATGCACCAAATTTAGCTAGGTAATTAGAAAAAAAAAAGACACAAACTTGGAATTTTTTTTTTTTTTTTTGTATGATTATATATTTATTTTTTAAATAGGATTAATGAAACACATTATTCAATACAATGTATATTTAATATGGATTATACATCATTAAAATGGAAACATTATTTTAGTGATTTAAAATTTGGTTTTAATTATCATACAATACGATTTTTATTATCAGAAATAATTCCATCAATATTTGTTGCATTATTTAATATTGGTATAATTATATGTATTTTTCGAACAACATCACATGTTAGAAAACGACAAGAATATCATCATAATAATCAATTATCTATGTCAATGGTAACTGGTATGTCATCAAAATTAACACCATTACAAATATATGATGGAAATCATCAACGATTTGGTTCAATCAAACGTTGTTCATTTAGAAAATCAGCAATACCGATAACAAGTGTACCATTTGGTAAAATGTCATGGATGAATATTGTTTTAATATTACATTCATTATTATTTTTTCTATCATCAAGTTTAACATCATTAGTTTATTTTTCAACATCAGATTTAATACTTGCTTTTTGGATGAGTGTTATTATATTAGCTAATTGTTCATTAAATTTTTATGTTTATTGTCTAAGTGGAAGACAATTTCGTATAGAATTAAAACGTATTGCTAAACGTTATATAAGAAATTTACATAAAACAATTGTACGTTGTTGTACTAAACATAAGAATCGTCGTCATTCAACTATACAAAATGGTAAAGATCTTATTTATCAAACAGTTCTACAACAACAAGAAATTCCTATAATACATCCATCACGACACAATCGAATTAGAGAACGTATCAAATGATAATCTTTACATTATTATTATGTATTATATCTATGTTGAAAAATTTTTTTGCTTTCTATTTTTGTGTGCTTTATGTACATATAAATACATCTTTTTTTCTAAACAAAGAAATCATCGAATATTTGATCTCAAAATTCGATTTTCTATCGATCTAATAAGTATATCATCAGTAGTAGAATTTTTTTTTTTTTACTCAAACAACTAGTCTAAGGAAATAGTATATAACATGCGAATATGTCTGTTATGTTATGTGATGATTATATGTAATGACATAAGAAAAAAATATTGTCTAATGCAGACACTCATATATAACTGAATGAGTAAATATAAAGAAACGTATGAAGGACTTTGGATTTAGGTTATTTTTCATTACATTAACGAGATGATGAAGCAAAAAAAAACGGATTGTTAGACTAAATAGATCTTATTTCCTATTGATGTCAATAATAAAATCTGTCATTATGTCAACGATTGTATTATTAAGCAATTTTTTCTTTTTAAAAAATATTTATAAACAAAAACAAAATGTTTGACATGTTATGAAATATTCATCATTATTTTTGTTGACGATCTTTATTAAATATATATAAGATGATTTTTTATTTTTAGAAATAAGAAATTCATTGTTAGAGGTTAGTTATATATTCATGTCATCATAATAATCTTAACGATTACTGCTTTTGACAATATAATTAATCTTTTTTTTTGTTTTGTTTTGTTTGTAAGAATTAATTAATAACAAATAAGTCAAGAAAACATAAAAGACCTGAAGAAAACAAATAAACGCCTGAATAGGTACTATATTAAATGGAATATTAATAGGAAAACAGCTGATAAATTAGATCAAAGATGACACTAATTATCTTGAGATTAATGATGACAGACTTCATCTTTTTTTTTCTTGTCAGTCTGAAGGTTATCAAAACAGAATAAATTATCATAGTTAGACAAATTATTTCGACAATGACGACCTTTTATCGTATAATAATTTATAAATAATATATAAAATTTTATCTATCATCGATTCATTCGATACAATAATAATATTAACTTCTAATATATAAGAACTTATTGACTTCTTCGATCTAATCATAATAAAAAAAAAAAACTAAGAATGTCTAATACAATGTTGATTAATTTACTTATCTACATTATCATAAATTTTCTTTAGATTATTTGACATGCTATTATGTCAATACTTTTGTTACTATCTAATTTAACTTTATTCGACATATATTGATGCATGTGTTGAATAACAAATGATATAATTTATTGGCATGAAAATATTCGATTGTTGAATAGCGACAGAAATTACAACATAACTTATTTATAATTTGAAATTCATGAATTAATTCTAATATCTTAATCTTTAAAGATACTTATTTAATTCAACATCAAGATTATTAAATCGTTCGGCTAATATGTTAATTTTCTGATATACTAATAGAGAAAAAAAAGGAATGTCATATATGTCGGATTTCCGAGAATCTCTGTTGCGATCTTCAATCTTCCGGCTCTATATATATATAAATATTCTATAATGATACTCTTACCTTTAAAAAAAAATAAATGACAAATAATTTCTGATTTTTTTTTTAGAATATGTATTTAAAAAAAAACACAATTCAAATATATTTATGATTCCTTTCTCATTCTAAAGAAATTTTATTTCATAAATTTGAAAGATAAACACACACACACACACACAAAAGAATCTTTTATATAATAGAAAGACTTGAATATCGCAGAAAGAAAAAAATTCGTTTAGTTTATTGAACAATAACATATGTTGCTGCTGTTGCAACACCACAATTATTGTTTTTACGAGACATTAATACATAACCATCATTACCCCAATAAGTTGACCAAGAATTTTTAACAAGCCAATAATCTTCACCATATAATGTGCCATAACCAACAGCAAGTACTGAATGATCTAAAGCGTCCGGTGTATTACCACAATCAGGATCATAAAAGACTAAAAACATGCAAAAGAATAAAAATAAATTTTAAAATATTCAAATCAATTAAATCTTACCTCCACTAGCATAAAATAGAAAACCTTTATGAGCAGCATCAATACCTAGAAACAAAAAAAAAAATAAATTCATTAATAACAACTTAAAAGAAGAAAAAAAAACAAGAACTAAAATTTCATTCATACCAACAGATATTGGTCCTTTTGTTGCAATAGCAATTCTTAAAGCTTCTTCATCACCTTCAGTTATATTAACATATCCAAGAATATTAGTACCTTTTGTTGCATTATCATGATGACAAAAACTATCTTCTTGTAAATATGAACCATAAGCATCTTCTAAAGCAATACCATCATGTTTCATTATATATTGATATGCACGAAAATCTTCTCCACCATCACAACCATTATTACCAAAACCCCATGAACAATCAATTAAATCTATATATTAGAAAAAAAACGCACATATATATATTTATCTTTCAATTTATTCAAACCTTGTTCAGATAAACGAATCGATGTTCCATACTAATAAAAAGAAACAAATATATATATATATAATTTATTAAATTACTTTAACAAAATAAGCGCCTTCAATAGTACCAGTTGTACCAAATGACCAACATGAACCACAAATACCTTGATCTTTAACTGGTGTTACAGCTCCCATAATACGCCAATCAATTGAATCAGGTATAGCTTGATAATTACTAATTAATTCTTTTTTTGGAAATGGAAGTCCACCATTATAACCTTTAGTATAACGACGACCACGAAGTACACGTAATTCATCATCCTAAAATTCAAAAAATTTCAATTTTAATATTGTTTTTTCTATTTTATAACTTACGGTTCGATCAGCAAATTTATTTATTTTCATTTTATATGGTAATGATGCACGATTACGTGTATTTATGTAACGAACATTGTGTCGAAAAATTTTCATACGTTCACGATGTTCATGATCATTTTCATATTTATGTCCATGAGTTTGTTTAAATTTTTCAAATGATGATTCAATATAATCTTCATGATGATGATTAATATATTCACTCATTGGATTAAATAAAACACGAGGAGTTGTATGTTCAAGACCAGGACCAGGAAATCCGGTGCATGACATTGCTTATAAGATAAAAAAAAAAGAAAATCAATAATAAAAAATTAAATTATGTTATTATAATTGAAAAGTCTTCATTATTGGCCTTTTCAGACAATTTCTTATCTATTCTTTTGTTTTTTTTTGAATATAGACAAAATATTAAATTAACTTAATATTAATCTTTTCTTTAAGAATTGATTGATCAATAAGAAATGTGATTATTATTTTTTCTTCTGTAGAACGAACATTTATTTTTGCGAGCATACACAACACAGTATACAAAACATGCTGGGATAGTCAATCCGATCTTTACACTGCATAAATTTCTCAATGTAATATTATATGAATCGATTTTTATTAGTTCACTGTTGCCATGTATAAGATGAAATGTTTCGCTCATTCAAGAGTTCTTTTTTCAAACGGATCTAACGTTCTTCAAAAAATCATATTCTCTTGAGAGCTTTATCAATGACTCAAAAACTTTTATATAATGGAGAAAATAAGTCTTGAATAGTGGTATTTTCAAATCTTCTTCTTGATGGCAATAGTTAGCAAGAATGTTAAAAAATCGTTTGTGTATTTCAAAGAATAGCCTATTAGGATTGATGAGTCCGAAGAGTTTAACAAAACTACTTGGGTGAGAGTCTGCAGAAAATGAAGATTTCAAGCTTTTGGAAAAACAGATTTTATTTGAGAAGGTTCAAGAAGCATTCTTCACCTCTCTTTATTGAATATTTCAATGTTTTTGTCATGTTTGGTGCTTCGAAGCTTTCTGTAAATTGAAAACCTCTCATTTGGCTCTATCAAATAAAAATTTTTCCTAAAAGTTTCGAACGAAAGCTAAAAATCTGGTTTTAAGATGTCTTAATTGCGCGTAGATCCTCATTCAAACAGTTTTGTCGGAGTCTTCGAACTCATCAAGCCGAATAGAGAATTCTTTCAGTTACACAAATGTTCTTTTTTCAGATTCTTGTTGGTCACTATACATAATGCTTTTCTATAACGAAATAGTGATCTATGAAAGTTGGATCATGAATTCGACATAAATTTATTGTTGTTTGTTTTTTTTTACCGTCTGTAATATGAAATATAGCTGGATCAATTGAATCTTCATCATAATTATAATAATCAATAGTATATTTATCAAAATGAGAACCAATTAATGTATCATAACCAAACATTTCATAATGAACTGGATGTTTAGTAACAGCATTGATATAATAAGTATATGTTGATTTTTTATCACCTACTTGATCAATATTTTGATACATTTCACATTTTATTCCACGCCATTCAGCTGATCCTAAATCCTAAAAAAAAAACGATAATAATAATAATCATGTCTGTACAAAAAAAAGAAATCAAATAAAATAATATTTAAATTAATTACTTGAAATGAAGATAAATCAGGAAGTGTATGTTGTACATCAACCATATCTTCTTGTGAACCATTAGCTTGAAAACAACTAATTTTATTTAAAACTTGTTCATCTAAATAATAATAAAATAATTCAAATATGAAATTAATTATTTATGAATTCTTATTTACCAGACATAGGTACAATTTTATAATTAGCTCCAAAATCTTGACCACCTTGTCCTTTTCGTTGAATAGTTTTTGCTGCACCTATAATTTAATTTCATATATTTTTGTTTTTCTTCTATTATAAACTAACCTCCATAATAATCAATACGTGAATATCCAGCATCAACATCAATCCATGATTCAAATGGTTCATTTATTTCTGCATAAGGTAATTGAATAACACCACTTACATGATATCTTGATGGAAGACTATCACGTAAAACTGGACTTGCATGTATTGATACAATCACAGTTAATACTAAATAAATAAACTTATAATTCATTATATAATATAATTAATTATAAATTTTTACATGCTGTGATTAAAACCGATA